TTCAGCCGAATTTCAAATGCGATTATGGACAACCGTTTCTTTGAAAAGCTGTAATTTGACATTTTGAAAATGGAAATCGGTTGAAAAACCTGCCAGCTATAGAAGCTAGAAGAATTCTAAAAGAATCAAAAAATACCTTATCAAATCTTCATAATAATATAATATCAATATCAGAATATCAAGCGCAATCAAGAGCCAAAACAGCATTTGTGGGGAAAAAAGCAGAAGAATCAATCCGCATAATCTTTTAATACTGGTTCGATTAACAAAGTAAAAAATTCCCTGAAACATAGGCACTTTTTTTGGCAATTTTTTGCTGAAATAGAAGTTTATCGCATAACTTTCTTAATACCGATCCAATTTGGAAAATTACATTTTTATTGAGAATTCTGTAATTTGTCCTAAAGTTTAGCGTTTTGAGAATGAACAAACATTTTCCAAAAATTGTCGTTTTGAGAACAGAAATCTGTTCTCAAAAAAATAAAAAAATTGCGAGCTTTCTAAACTTGCAGATAGAAAAACTATTCGAATCTTAAACGTTCAGTGGAGTTCCGAATGCTTTTATGGACTAACAACGGTTTCTTTCAAAAACAATCATTTGAGAAATTAGAGAAATTAAGAGTAAATTATAATTAAATTAAAAGATTATCGAAAAGCCCAAAATTTTCCCTTAAGTTTATTGAAAAGTGGCGTTTTGAACATGAAAATCCGTTGAAAAACTTGTCGCGATCGAGGATTTTAAGCAGGAAAAAAACTTTTTGAACCAAAATCTTTCGAGTCTTCACCCTGTAGACAAATTGCAAACGCATTCAAGAGCCTTGCAAACTTACATTTTTTCTAAAAAATCGTACTTTTGAAAACGAAAATCTGTTCTGTCTGTTGAAAATCGATTCTTAAACGTTTAGTAGAATTCCGAATGCGTTTATGAACTAACAACGGTTTCTTGTGTATTTGAGAAATTGAAAGTTTATCGAAAAGCCCAAAACTTTCGCTAAAGTTTATTGAGAAGTCGAGAATTTTCCATAAAGATCAGCGTTTCGAACCTGCAAATCCGTTGAAAAACTTGTCCGCGATCGAGGATTTTAAGCATTAAAAAAGGTTTTGAACCAAAATCTTTCGAATCTTCACCCTGTAGACGAATCGTCAGCGCATTCAATAGGTAAACTTGCATTTTTTACAAAATTAATAATTATCTGAAACATACGAACTTTTTTCCAAAAAATCGTCGCTTTGAAAACAGAAATCTGTTAACAAAATTGCCAGCTCTCTAAGCTTGAAAATAGAAAAAACACTCGAATCTTAAACGTTCAGTCGAATTACCAATGCGTTTAAGGACTTACAACGGTTTCTTTGCAAAACAGCAATTTGAGAAATTGAAAGTTTATTGAAATCCGGAATTGTCTCTTAAGTTCGGCGTTTTCAAAAAGTAAATGTTGTAAAGTCTGTCAGCCATGGAGGATCAAAAATTTAATAAATGCTTGTTGCCCTGAAATCTCCCTATTCTTAAAAAAGTGTCGATTTTTGAAAAAATGCAAGGTTTTCTCATACCACTTTAATACTGGCCCAGTTTGAGAAATTGAACGTTCTCCTTAATGTTGAGCGTTTTCAAAAACAAAATTACTTAAAAAAAAGGCCAACTATCAACATTTGAACATTGTCAAAGTGCTATTTGAGCTAAAACCTTTGGATTTTTAACACTTGATTTTCCCACATAGCTCTTTTAATACCGGCCCGATTGGAAAAATTAAAAATTTATTAGAAAGTCAGCAATTTTCCCCAAATGAAAATTGGTTAAAAACCGTGACAGCTATGGCGATTCAAAGCCAAAATTTAAGTACCCCACTTTAAGCAGTGTTCAAGTGCATTTTCCATCCTTAATGAGTTATTTTACGGGCAAACTCCACAAGATTTCATGCGTTTTAGTGCCGAATGCTAATGGAGCGGTTTTTTCAATCCATGCTGGTTTCATAAAAGTAGTATTTTTAGTGGCAAAATTTAGCAGCTAGTCAGTTAGGTTAATAAGCACACTCACAAACGCCGACCGTGCATGATGGTCCTTTGAAGTACTTGTCGGCTCGGAGCGGTTTGCCCTCTTGATCTTCGACCAAAATGCCCAGACCCAACATTCTGCCACCGGCTTTTGTCCAGGATTTCGTGGCTGGTTTCACGCTCAATTCCACCCAGCGCGATGTTTCTGGCACCACTTTACTATCGGATAAACGACGCTTAACTGGAAAATGAAAAACACAAATATGATCTTTGAGGCATTTCCCGGAAAAGAAAGCTTTAAAATTCTACCTCTTCGCTTCTTCTGCAGCTTCGCATACCAATAAGCAGACACCCGCAGCAATCGCTCCTCTTCGACGCTCTCGTTGTTTTTGCAATCGTCCTTTGCACCTGCGTCTGATCGATTGGTGATGTTCTGAGGAAGCCGATAGAGCCGTAACGTAGCGGAGGCAATGTTGCTGTTCTTGTTATCCGTATTGTAGTCCAAGTTGAAGAAAAGATTCATCACATCATCAGATTCCCGCCACTGGTCTTGATCAGCAGGAGTTTCACCTGGAAGCAGTTGATGTTGCGTTCTTGCTTGGGATGTTTGCTGCTTTAAAACACTTACATAGCGGATAGAAGCTTCGGATTTTTTCAGTGATCAGATCATCGTCCAGAATGGTGGTATTCAAGAGCTTGGGGATGATTTGGGTGAGATTGAAATCAGTCAGGGTGTCTTCTTCGGGCGGTTTTGTGAACGCTGTTGAATTTTTGCGACGCAGTTGAGAGAAAATCTGCGACTTCAGGTATTCCATCCAGCTTTCTTTGCGCAATCTGAAAAATCGGTTGCAGAAGTTTGAGCATGAATGGCTCGTATATGGCTGGCTTTAGCACAGTGCACGAGACCTAGACATTTAGTAGATAGAAGAATTATTAGAATAAGAAAGTAACAGTCGAGTAGACCGGACCAGCCTAGCCCATATAAGGCTGGGACGGGTCTGCACGTATTTTCCAGTCTGCTAGTTGTAAAAATTGACCCTGTCTATAAAAACCCGGTAATTTATCGTTTTTCCATGCAACCTAATCTAGGCCTCATTTGGGTTGCTGGTTGCGCGATAATTAGCCAGACCGAAGGTTTTGAACAAATTTTGACTTGAAGCAAGTAGAAAAACCTGCGCAAAGTCCGTCCCTGTGCGTCTGCAAAAATGACCGTATCGGATCCGTCATGGGTTTTACAGTTAAATATTGCTGACTTATTAAAGGATAATGAGATAGACGTTATGGTCGTCTAGCAAAAGCAGGTAGCACTCGAAAAAAGGCATTTTTCGCTCTCGAATGGAAAATTTATCACTTTGCCTTACTTCGAAGGGGATTTTCGAATCCTCAATGCAGTTTACCAGTTTATTCACCTTTTGCCACTCGGATCGTCTAGCAATCATTAAAGAGTGTGGTTTTTTTGCAAGAAAACCTACAGAGTATCTAGTTATTTCAACCACATTTTCTGCGTCGCAAGAGAAACGAATTTTGCTTGAAGAGCGATGGTCGGGTGGAAAAACACTGGCCAGCATAAAATGATTTTTGCCTTGCCATTCTGCAAAGAAACATACATATTTTGTTGCAAAACATACATATTTCTTGGCTACCAATCTCCGCAAAGTCGTTAAATTTCGCTTACAAAATCAATTATTTTGAGTTTTTGTATATTTAATTTCAACACCCTGTAGAGCTGCGACGAAACATTTTGGGGCAAAAGCTGATAGAGGAGTTAAAATGCCTCTTTTTTCTTGTTATTTGGCGGAAAACCATACGGTGCGTTTCGTTATTTTTAGTGACCGGAAAATGCTTTATTGCTACTTTGGTGTGTAATTTAAAAAATTGTAGCTTGTGATATTAGTCTCTGCAAAATGTACTTTAATTCTGTACGAAGGAGCATTTTCAGGTTAACGCTTCCTTGTTACATGGCAAAAAATAGACAAGGGGTTTGATTATTTCTTCATGTCAACAAAGTTTTACTTACATAAAACGCATTAAGTAGTTTTTGGGAAATTTTATAGCGGTTGGGGACAGTCAAGGCATGTTTTACAATGAAAACGTTAGTCAATTTCTTTTAAGGCGCGGTTATCACCAGGATACCGAATGTTTTAAAAAATAGGAACGCTTCTGCATTATTTTAATTTCTGAACTATTTCTTTTAAAAATCTCCTGCGTTTTTCGCTCAGATCAGCAGCCAATTTAATTTTTGAAAAGGTCAGTAGCGTACGAATTTGATACTCAAGCTACGCGATTCAGTAGTAAATTTTGAGGTTCCAAGTGAGAGTTTTTCGATAGATTTTGCTTTGTTCCGGTGAACTGAGAGGAAAATGGTCTAGACGAACAAATCCGTTCGTGAATGAACACCATTAGTCGGGTCTTGCAGACTTCCTGGTCTGCTGGACAAGTAAATGTATCCACTGATTAGTAATCGCTTATTAGTTGACTTGCACGCTGGCCACAGCTTGAGTTGCCGCTGTTTTAATTAACTTTGTCTAGACAACCTGGGCTTAAAGGTGTAAACGACCTTAAGATGATAAGGATGATAGTTTCTTCCGCGAATGCAACCTGCTACCTTCGTGCCGGTTGATTTCCCGAGAACCATTTTGGTGGGTTTTGGGGCGAATCGATCTAATTCTAATAGATCCAGTTCAGGCCAGCAAGGTCTTTGCAAACGCAATGCAAATGTTCAATTGGCAGTCAAACTGCAATCTCCCAGCCCAGACAAATATGCATTTTTTGTCCTCAATTGCCAGACAGCCGTCGAAAAAATTGCGAAACTTGATCGCGACACTTTTGCGCGCCTAACGCTGTAATTAAATATCCGATTTTGAAAGGCGAATTTGGCTCATGCAACCCAACAAGCGGCAGATCGAGTTGCAAACTGAAGCTGTCCAAAATTCAGGCAAAAAGTGCAAAACTAGAAAAGAAAAATCATGCAAAGTCGAAAACACTACCATACGTTCGACTCTAAACTCTCTTGCAGTTCACCGGAAAACGCTGTCTGGGCGAGATGAGTTGGGTTAAAAAAATTAAAGGTTTCAGAAAAGCACTGAAGATGATTGGTTTTAGAGATAAGAAGCTAACGAATTTGTGTTTTTTCTGTGCTGACCACACGATCGATGGTTTATTAGACACTTTCAATTTTCTTTTCTTTCGTTTATTGGATTTTCTTCATGAGTCAATTTGCAGAAAAACTCACATTGACAAAAAAAATATTTTTTGCTTTAACTTTGGTTAAAGTCTAGATCTTATTTCTATGCACGAGAAGACGTCTTTTGCTGAACAACATTTTTTTCTTGCCAGTGGCATTTTAAAAATGAAAGGAACCAGCCTCGGCTTTCTCTAGAAATAAAAATTATTTTTCAAATATTCATTCACTTCTGGGCAAATTTGGTCTCTTGATTTTTTTTTGTTTAACGAACAGTTTTTGCGTAAGAAAATGAATTCCATTCATTTGCACCTCGCCAGGTCGCTATTCGATAGCAAATAACTTTATTTAAACATTTATTGAAGAGGATATTTTTGTAGATGACAAGTAATCTAAATACAGTTCAGATTGCTAACAAAAAACACACTGATCTTGAACGCCATCACCTGAAACGCTTACAGAAGCAGTCTTTTTGCCTTTTTGAAACACCAATTTTGAACGGACGAAATCGTCCGATTTCAAATAAGTTTCCCATTTTTTTCGCCAACTCACTGTAACACAAACTAGATAGGAAAAGCTAAATAGATGTAGAAAACCCACTGATTTCACCAGTAATTACTGATTTTCAATTTCCATTCCAAACATTCGGAATCGAAAACAACATAATTGAAGAACGCATGTACTTATTGTTGGTGAGCGCGGACGTAACAATTGCGAATCATTTGATTTTGTTTAGTCTAGACTATGTGTGTGTTATGTCTATAACTTTTCATTGAAAATCGCTTTTCCAACTTACCAGCGCAGTTTACTTAGAACTGCAATCGGGTTTAGCAAAATAAACGATTTTCAATAGTGCGCAACTAGTAGATGTAAATATATAAGAAACCAGAACTTCCTGTTAGACGATGATTTTTACTCGATTTTCTTGGAGTTTGTTCACGATAACAAGACCTTTTGAAGTGGAGTTTAAGATAGCAATTAATTTAAAACAAGAGGATTGAAAAACTAGAATATTTTTTGTAAAAACAACTGCATTTACAACATTTTACAAAGAAGCGTAATTTCATGATAATTTTTCACCACTTGTGTTAATGGGAAATCGTACTTTGAGTCGATTTTCGCAACGAAATTATGTTCTGTTTGCTTGTCTACAGTTTGAACGTAAAATATAGAACATTCTAAATAAAGTTTAGATAAATAAAATTTTAAAAAATTGTGGTCATACTTTGTTTTTTTTACAGCAACCCACAGGCCATCATCATTTTTAAACATTTTTTTAAATTATAATTTGATAGAAAAAGTTTGAGTAACTGATTACTCAGCTATAAATTATTGCATTGAATACTCATTAAGTTTTGCTCGTTTTCGTATTTTTATTGCGTTTGAAACCAAAGTGATGCATTGAAGTGGAATACAAGAAAATATTTTAAGAGTGTAAGAAACCAGAGCATGCCAGTGTCTTTTTTAATTAATTTTCAATTTAAATTTTTATTTTTTATTGTGTAACTTGTTTTTCAATTCTACATTCGGTTGAGAACTGAAAAGCTGTTTTGGATTTTTTGCTGCAATGCACAGCTTTTTATTTAAAAAAATTACGCAATATTTAATATTCGATACTTTCCAGGAAAAACCACGAGTACCTACGTCAGTGCGTTTTCGGAAAATAAAAATATTTTTTAATTCTACATTTCCTTAGGAACAAAAATGCTCTGTTGGGTTTTGAAAAAATTCAAATCGTAATGTTTGAGAAAATTTTTCCAGTTTCCATCATTTGATTCTTTCCAGGAAAAAAAACAGATCACGCCAATGATTTTTCCTCCTTAAAATTATTTTTCAATTCTACATAATTTATAAAATCTCCAGTGTTGCGAAAATCTTGCTGAAAGCTACAATTTTTTAGTAAAGAATTAAAAACCATTGCAATGTCCGAGAAAATTAACGCATTCGACCCTTTCCAGAAAAGGAGCAGAGAACGCCAGTGTCTTTTTGGCAAATAAAAATTATTTTTCACTTCTACATTTAATTGGGAAGAAAAAAGCTCTATCGGGTTTTTTTGCCAAAATGCAATTTTTTCATCAAAAATGTAAAAACCGTTGTAATGTCTGAGAAAATTACCGCATTATTTAGCATTTGATACTTTCCAAACCGAGCACATCAATGTCTTTTTTGCACAAAATTTATTTTTCAATTCTACATTCAGTTGGGCACAAAAACGTTTTTGATTTTTTTTGCCGAATAACACAGTTTTTCAAGAAAAAAAACTATTATAATTTCTCAGGAAATTAGCGCCATATTTAATATTTAAAATTATTTGTGACTTTTGCATTTAGTTAATGCACAATAGGAAGAAAAATGCTCTTTTGGGTTGTTTGCCAAAATTCAAACGTGTTCATCAAAAAAAAGAAAAACCGTCGAATTGTCCGAGAAGACTACCGAAATATTTGACATCGGAAAATTTGCCGAAAAAAAAACAGTGCTTTCCGATAATTCTTCGACAAATAAAAAAATTCTGAGCTCTACATTCAGTTGAACACAAAAAACTTGATTGCGTTTTTCTGCTAAAATGCCATGTTTTTCAAAATATTTAACATACGGAAATGTTCTGACAACAAAAACAGTGCTTTCGAGTCATTTTTCGGCAAATAAAAATTAT